ATTAGATAATACAACAATAATGTGCAAAAATCAATTATTTTTTTGGGTTTATTAATCAAATGTTATGCACATGACATTAATAAATGAATTTAAAAAATTATAATTTTAAATTTCATGAAATGCTTGATTTTCTTTTATTTACAAGTATGTTTTCAAGGCTCATATCAACAAGAGGTTTAAGATAATATAAAATTTATCAAATATGATTTATTTGATTAATTGTTTTTTTCCATGAAATTTTCTCAATTTTTTTGTTAAAGTTATATCTAAGATTTTGTGTTACTTCGGAGAAGTTAAAAGATATATTATGAAATGTAACAAAATTTATTTAATGTGTTTTGGGTAGAAATAGAATAGATAAAAACTTGATTTTTGTGAAAATTAAAAGCAATTATTATATGTACAAATTGAAATCGTGACATGCTTGATTTTCTTTTGATTATAGATAAGTGTTCAAGACTTATATTGATAAGAGGTTTAAGATATCAATCCTCCAAGAAATACTTTGGCATGATTATTGTGCAGATATAATAACACTTAGTATTCAAGTAAAATTTCACTTACTTTTTCTGATTTTTTTAATAAAAAAATTGCCACAAAAATAATACAAATCATATATTATTTAGAGCTTCAAAATTACTATTAGTTTCCTTTGTACAAGGTAATATTTACATTTCAAGAAATGGCCAATGAGATCAAGGTTAATAAATAATATTTTAAAAATTGAAATTATTAGATAATACAACAATAATGTGCAAAAATCGATTCTTTTTTTTTAGTTAATTCAAAAGTTATGAGCATGATATTAAGCAAAAATATTATAATAATTAGTAATGATGAATTTAGAGAAAAAAAACTTTTAAAATGATTATTTTCACCCAAGTGGAAGTCTAATATCAAGTCATTTGGTAGTTTTAGAACAAAACTAAAACAAAAGAAAAAAATTAATAAACAACAAAATTAACAATTTGGAAAAATTTTAAAAATTTCATGCTACAAAATAAATAAAAAAATAAAATAATTAACGAAAAATTAAGAAAAAGAAAAACATTAACAAAGACATAGCTATAAATACGTAGATAATTTTTTTTTAAAAATAATGATAGAAAACAAAAACTAATCTAAAGCATCTCCTAAAATTCCTCAACACTTACCTAGCTATCCTTATCACT